ACAAGAAACTTCTCAAGTTATTAACTTAATTAACTAACTGTTAATTAATTAATCGATTAACTGTCTTTTCTAATTGTTAATTCCCTTCACTTGATTATTGATTCTAAGCTAAGATACATGATATATTTATATAAATTACATGTTATACGATATAACTAGTTTTATCATTGTTGTCGTTAAGTTAATTAAACACGAGTGTTATCAGCATTTCTGGTGTTAACACAAGTATTGATGTCATTGTTATCATTGCTGTCATTGCTGTCGTTGCTGGTGTTAACACAAACTTAAGAACCAATAATATTTAACATATAATTGTCCAATAAAATAATAACTATCTAAAAATAACCATTCAATAGAAATACTAATAAATATAATCCAATAATAATTAATATAAATCTTATTCAATAAGATTATTTGTCAAATGTCATATCATGATAATATTAAAACGGTAACAATATAATACCACAATTCAATAAAAAAAATCATTTTTTGTTAAATAAATATATATTTTAAAACTTCAAAAAATATAAAATGATAAAGAATATTAAAGTTAAATTTATATTATTGACAGACTTCAAAGAAATTTAGTAAAATTTAAAAATTAATATGTGTTATGTGTTTATTGATTACAATAATAAATAAATAAATCTGTAGTAATTTGTAAATATATAATTTTTTTTAATTAAAATCTATATTTTCACAATTTTTTGTAGATTTTGTTAATTTGATCAAAAAAAACTGCAACAATCTGTATATTTGCAGATTATTACAGATTTGATATCTTTTGAATTTTCTGATGACTTTTGATTATATTTGAATCTGATTCAAAATTTGAATTAGATTTATTTTATAATAGACTTAAATATCTGTTTTTATATTTTTGTATTTTTCATTTTCTTGTATTAGTTTTGTTTTGCCAGAATTAATCAAAAATTTGCTATATTTTTATTGTTATACATATTTTTGCACATTTTTACATTCTTATTGGTCGGATACGATTATTATCACGTGACCGAAACTTTTTTCGCCGTGACTAGAATACTATTTTTCGCATTATTAACGTTATAAAAGAATTTTCACGTGGACCGAACTTTGGTGAGGAATTTCTTCAGTGACATTAATACCTGATTTGGTATTTATATACAACTGAACATTTGGCCGGTGGCGCAGCAATTGTGGTGACCTAATGTTAGATCAACACCAAAGTATTTTTGGATACTGCGTAATTCATATGTTTGGCTTGAATTGGCAAAAGACAAGCGAAACTGTCGCGAAAAACAGTGTTAGTGCCGTTTCCAGTAAAAGCGCACAAACTAATATGGACCCTCTTGACTTTGCTGATTTTCAAATGCCTGACATAGAAGAAAACGCTGACTCTAATGTTGAAATTACTGACGCGGATCTCGTGGATCCTGTTCTTTTGGTAAGATATGCATTCTTGTAGGTTTTTCTCAAGTCTAAATTTTTAAGTATATTCGATTCACAAATAGGGTGAATTGCAAGCTTTGACCGGAAATACTCTGCCTAACACTTCGAAACCCAAACCTAAAGAACGACCAAAAACTGTTCAGTCAAACCCGGTAGCTGTTCAACACATTGACATCGAGGCTATAGAAGCATTGGGCAATGAAGACAATGAAGCTGAAGTGGAACTTACAGAAAACGACCTAAAAGATCCTACATTGTTAGTACGTTGCTATTCCATTTTTTTTTTATTTCAACAATTAATATCATCAAAAAATTAACATGTAGGTTTCTTTGGTAGAAAGAATTGCATGGACTAGGAAGACATCAGGGTGATGATAATAGTGAAAATGATATTAAAGCAATTGAAAAGCGAACAAAAAGAGAAAACGTTTTGGTGACTCGTAGTTCACTGGCTGTCGATAATAATAAAATTGTCAATGAGCAAAATCTGAATACCGGCTCTTTAGACAAGCAGAATTCAGAAGTAGTTACTTTTGCAACTTCACAAGAATCTCAGTCTTTGAGCATAGAAGAGAAGCTTAAGACCGATGATCCCGATGTTTTGGCAAGACTGATAAAACAAGAAAAACTTGATGCAGTTCTCAAGAAGCGTGCTGGCGATAAAAAAGGTGCTCTTGAATCTATGAAAACTTACAAACGATTGGAAGCAAGACACGAAGAAATTTTGAAATCTTCGGTCACCCAAGTTAATGTTGTAGCTACTACAACCAGTCAAAGAACAGACAATGAGAACATTACTGAAGTGGATAAAATTTCTTCAAATCAAATCGAGTCGAAAGAAAATACGATAAAAGCAGAAACTGAAAATAAAAGTGAAGTTTCCCCTCTAACAGAGTCACCAAATGTGGTTTTAATAAATAAATTAAAGGATCTTCAGCAGAAATACAAAAACGCTGCAATTCAATTTAAGAATTCAAGCAACATCCCAAAGGCAAAAGAAATGTTAACACTTTCCCAAGATATCTTAAAAACGTACAGAAATTTAGAGAACGGAGGTCAATTACCGGATGGATGGACTATCCCTGCTGAACCTGATCTATCCGAATTAACAAAGATCCCTTCTTCCACTCCTAAAAAGATATCGCCAATTATAAAAACTCCACCAAATGCAGCGATGAAAAATCCATTCGAAGATGAAACCCCTTTGAGCATGGTGAGATATAACTTTATTTCTTTCTTGCGAATTTTGTATATTTAAAATAAAATTAATATAACGAAAAAAAAAAAAAACAAAACATAGAGTTAGAGAATGATCCTCTTGGATCAGAAATATACTAAAAATAATGATAACATATTCGAAATAGAATCTATTTTCTATGCATTTTTAGATGTCCAAAGAACAGCAATATGAACGTTTGTTAACACATCTTCAAAATCAAATTTCCTCATGTGCCAATATAATATCTAACTATCAAAAAGAAGGTGACAAGACAAACGCAACTCTTTTCTCACGTTATAAGGAAGAATTCTCTTGTGATCTGGATTCCTTGTCATCATATAAAACCCACGGAAAAGAAATACCGGCATTTCATTTTCAACAAATTCAATATAACACACCAAATTGTTGTTATGAATTGAGTGAAAATGAATTAGAAGTATGCATAGACCGTGCATTTAATCTGGGTAACAAGGAAGTGAGTGGCAGAGATGTTGAAGCATATGTTAATTGGGATATAGGATGGCCACCTGAAGGAAGTTCTGGCGCGGGGAGTGGGAAAGGCGATACTTCCGTTGCGAAGCGAGGAATCGATCCCGGTAAATTTTTATTTAATTAATTCGTTGTTTATTATATAATATGCATATACATCAATACCTGTATGTTTTTATTATAGAATTTAATTTCAAAAAGATTGTATTGATTGATCGTGGTTCACGACTTCAAAGACATTTGGAACGCAAAAAAGCTCTTTTTGAAGTTTTCCATTATAGAGGATTTTTTAGAAAAGCAGTATCTCTTGGGAAAGTTCAGGTCAAATTGGATTCCCTTCTCGTGAAGCCTGAAATACATGAAATTTTTGATGTAAGATTAGGCTGTATAAATTATTTTTTCTATTGACAACAAATTTATTTATTTATTTTTTTAACTTCAAAAAAAAAATAGCTCGTTGACTCAAGTCGCCGCCCGACGGGTGGTAAATTAGAAATAAAATTACGCGTCAGAAGACCAATATCTAAAAATGTAAAAAATGAAATTGTGACCAAAAATCTAAAATGGGTTATTATTGATGAATTTAGAGCGGATGATTCTGTATTTTCAAATTTGAAATCCTCCCATAATTCAAAAATGCCTGTGCAACAACAATCAACGCCAAGTAAAGTGCCCGTGCAACAACCATCAACGCCAAGTAAATCGAATTCTGATTTTCTGCAATCGGAAAATTCACAAATTGCCAACAAACAAAAAGCAACCACAACGATGCAGACTCCCAAAATTATAAATAACACAGCAGATAAATCCGCTGCAAATCAGCCCAAAGGCGAAGAAGATAAAGAACTTGAGCAAGCCGAAGAGGAATTGAATAGGTGAGAACTTTATATTTATTTAATTATGATTCTTACAATATTAACTTGCTTTATTATATACTTCAGTGTGGATAATCTAGTATCAAATCTTGTTCTTGAACAAGAAATTAATCTCGTCAATAATCAAATTGCTTCTTTGCAAGCCCAACACAAGCCAGTATCTGATGATTTAGTCGACCGCAAACAAGCATTAGAGATTAAAATGAACCTTTTGGTTATTCAAGTACAAACTGGGCAATTAACAATGGAAAAGTATTTGGATCAAGTGAGGAAAAGTATTTTAAACTTTAAAAAACTTGCCTTGTTTTTCAAACAAGCAGGAAAACTTGAGGAAGCGAAACGAGCTCTCGCAAGGAGTAAGATCATGGAAAAAGAGATAAAAGAAGTTGAAGAAGCAATGGCAAATGGTGCTATGGAGGGATAATTTATCATCTTTTTTTATTTTATTATGAATAGACGGTTGTATTATATGTATGGATCTTAATTTATAATGTTATTAAATTTTCTACTACTCAAGAATAACAAAGAGTATTAATAATCGATATAGTTAGAATTACATATCAAAATAGAATTGCGCCGGTTGCTCGATATAAAATTAAAATAAAACATAAAATTAAAGTTGTTATAGATTTTCGGCTGCTTGTATGTATTGAAGCGCTATCAGGAATTATCAGGAATTTTTCTTATCATCAAAAGCAACGAAATTTGATTTTCCTGATTCTATTTCGCCAAATTGTGGATTCTCATCATCAAAAGCAATGGAATTTGATTTTTCTGATTCTATTTCACCAAATTGTGGATTCATTGCATCAAAAACAATGGAATTTGATTTTTCTGGTTCTATTTCACCAAATTGTGGATTCTTATCTTCAAAAGCAATGGAATTTGATTTTCCTGATTCTACTTCACCAAATTGTGGATTCTTATCATCAAAAGCAATGAAATTTGATTTTCCCGATTCTATTTCACCAAATTGTGGATTCTTCTTATCATCAGAAACAATGAAGTTTGATTTTCCCGATTCTATTTCACCAAATTGTGGATTCTTATCATCAAAAGCAATGCAATTTTGTTTCCCGCTAGAGTTACCATTCCTCTTCGTTAATTTTTTGCTATACTCATTTACTACCACAGCAAAATATACCTGAAAATGTCATTTTGAGAATTGATTAAGTGATCGAACCTCAATTAGAAAAATGACATGAACATCAAGTTTAGGTTACTTACTAATAATGTAAGACGTATAAATATCAAGTCTAAGAATGACCAAGTCAAAGATAAACGAATTGACGCGTTACATGCATCATCGATTTGTTTAGGTGTTGGTGCGTCAGGGTCATAAGGAACAGTGACAGTACTTGTATTTGCTGGTATCAAGTAAACCAAATCGCTCTTGCAAGTTCTTACTATGTCTTTTTTCCAGACGTATGCAAGAATTAAATCTACAAAGTGCAGAATCAACAGTACGGATATTGCCAACCAGTATAATTGTGAAAAACGTCGAACAAGATTTGAGCGTTGCTGAAACAGAATCAAATAGCGTGTTCATTTATTTACACATGAAATGCTTTAATCGATAGCAAATTCAAAAATTGAATAAAATACCGATTTCGTTGCATAAACCCCAAGAAGTCCTATTGGGACAGCTATTAGGAAAAGAAAACCGTAAAGTATTTCTATGCCTCGGGATACATGTGAACGATAAACTGAACAATTCAACAAAATTGTTAAACAATCGAGTAGAAATTCTTTAATTTTACTACTGAATTAATTTGATTTCACTACCTCCAATCCCAACGAAATAACCTGCAGCGAACCACACGCTTTGTAACTATTAAAAATTAAAAGAATGATTTTTATTATTTCTAAGAATTTATCTATAAATTCTGATTATCTAGTACTCACTATTAAGAGTAATCCGATTAACAAACTGCCGGAACGAAGTGGTAAAAAAAAGCAACACCTTGTGGGGTGGTGAGCAAAAGGAGTTTTGTCTAATAAATCGTCAAGTTTCATTAGTTTCATATTCGGGCTTTCGAGACTGGAATAATAGAATCGTGAACAATTAGAATTTCAAGACAGCAACTCCTGTCATCGCTCAATTCACAGGAAATCGTGCACTATAAATAAAAGTGATACAATGATACGATTGGTCAAATCGCGTCAATAAATTTGACACGCGACTTATGAGCGAAACTTATTCCGCAAAAAATGGCAATAGATCCCCTTGATAGACTTTTTCAAGCTTCTAATAAAATTGCTTCTTTAAATTTTCGACAGAGTTATGGTCGTGTGGGTGCCTTACTTGACCAAGACGTCAGTCAAACCTGTATTCGTGATGCTGCAACTCACGAGAGAAAACTATTTACGACGGACGATGAAGGGCTGCCAAAGTACACATTCCTTAATCTTGATACTTTTGAAACTCAAATTTATTACTCTGATACACCTCAACATTATAAAGATTTAATGAAAGACCTACTTTTGAACCGCCAACTCCTCTTCGAGCACCTGGTCCCTTAACTGTCGATAAGCTGATACGAGGTGCAAATGTATTAGCTCAGATATGGTAGTTATACGTTTAAGTATTCAACATGTCGAAAATTGAAAATTAATCTTATAGTTTACTTATTTTTAAGTGATTTAGAAGATGCCAAATCATATATATCGAAATTATATCAACGTCATGAAGAGATTACATCGTCAATTGACAGTCTGGAATCAATTGGGAAAAAAGTAGTGATATATATTTTTTTATTCAGCAATTCCTAGCATTCAATTTAAATATTTTTTTCTCATCATAGCAAAAATTAGATTTAGAAAGGATTAGAGCTCTTCGTCAAAGTGTTGAACCAAGGGACAATTTAACAAATTCAAGTCAACAATTGGATTCTGAAAGTTTCGCCGAAGAAATACAATATGAGCAAAGAGAAATACTTGCTTTGGAGTCTCTAATCGAAGAACACAGTGAAATGGTACCTTTTTTATAAGATTTATGTTTACTATTTCCGTACTAAATAATTTCATATGCTATGTTAGTTGGATCTACTCGAGTCAAGATTACAAAATGAAAAACAAGAATCCGAAGAGATCAATATCAATTCAAGCGATTCAATAGAACAATTACAGGTATAATACAAGTTAATTGACAAGAAATATTTACTCGAAAGAATACGATATTAATCTTTTTTTGCGAATCATATAGAAATTATCACATCTTAGAGAACAGCTTGAATTCAAACATGAAACTTTGCAGCAGTTAGGTTATTATAGACTTTACCCTGTCTATCTATTGATATTTTTCACAGGTTGGAATTAAGATAACCCTATGGCCGCACTTTCTACTTCCGCATACATGAATGTAGACGCACAGCTAATTAGGACAAGCGAAAGTCCCACTTATGAGGGGGATGAGGAAGGAGAATTTGGCCGTTTGAAGTTAAAATACGAATCAATTGTGACCAAAACAGATGCGGTTAGTTAATGTTTATAGTACCGATAGTTTTACAAAAGTGCTCAAGAACTTATTCAATTTTTTATAAATTAGCCTTTCAGCAATCAAAATCCGGAGCAACTTAACCGAATTCAGCATGTCATGGTTGGAGAAAATCCATTATCATCTTTGATTTGTAGTTATGATCGTTATTTATTTAGTTTCTTGTTATTGGTAGTCAACTGCAGTGGGAACATTGCAACAGCTATTGGACGTTCGCGAACGATATGAATTACTGAATTTGGATCTTGACCTCATAAGGTTAAAAAAATATAAATTTAAAGGTTGAAATTAGAAATCGTCAAAATCTTAATCACATAATTTATTATAGGGAAATAAATAGTACACTAGTTGATAATGTTGTAGAATTTCAAAAAGATAATTTTCCTGAGTTACTCGACAATATTCCCACGCCACAGATTACCTTGTCCGCGATAATTCTTCAAATTATCCGCGATGAAGGCGGAGAATTATCATTTGCTGAGCTCAAGGATAGAATTAGCAATCTAGCTCGTCAACGGGAAATGTCAGAGTTTGAGGAAATGGGAATCAATGCTGTTTACACGCTCGTCGCTAATCGATTAATAATCATTGATCGTTCTGAGAAAACCAATCCTGTGAGAGCTAACATTTGGAGTATATGAGATCAAGGTGGATATAATATGTAATTTGATATGTTATTCTGTAAATCATTGTGCATTAATTGTTGTTCATAGTGGATAATATCTTTTCTATATCTGAAATATTTAGTATTTCAAGATGTCTTGTTTTCTCTATATACGAAATTATATAAGTGGCTTTTGAAAGAAATAGATTTACACATGATACCATCTAAATGAAAAATGGTCTACTCATTATATTTTATTATATAGTTATGGTTCATGATCTTCCGGTAATAATGGAGCATTCTCAACAGAGGAAGGACGACGTTCTGGTACAACCGGCTCAAGCGGCTCGAGGAATGACGGTAATTTAACAACACCGTTGAAAAGAAAAGTTCCCCAAATTAAAATAATAAATCCTAAATAAAAAAAATGACGGACGGATTTAATAAATTAATTATGAATGATTCTCAACAACTTGTTCGAATACAATAACAAATAAATACCAATAAGCTGCAACCAAGAAAAAGTTTCCCATCCTAAAAACAACGATACAATCCAAATAAAAACATTTCTAGCCGTATCAATTGTAGATCGCGCAGTAGCACTAATACTTCGAGTCACACTCAAACCGAAAAAGTTGAAAAATGCAATCGAAAAACAAATAGCCACCCCGGATTGCCATACGCCAGCGTTATCAACTATTTGATGATACCCGTTGGATATATTGAAGTAGCCGTCAGGATGCGTACTCCCATAAGCAAAGTGTAATATGAACATTCCAACAGTAACCGTAATCACCCCGAAAATACCTTCGAGGCCGACGGCGCGTAACGGTGACACGCGATATTTATACATGATTTTTTCTTCGAGAACGAATTGAGATGCAGTGAATATTTGCGCGACTAATACAAAGAAAACACCGATTAATGCAGCAGTTGCATCTGAAGTTTTTTTTATTGTCAAGTCATAATTATCGGTAAAGTCTGAAGGTTTCGTTGGCGGGAATAATGCACTACTCAGTCCTACAATCGCAACACCGAGAACCACCAAGAATAATGAAATCCAATGATAAGTGTATAAAATCCGTTTCAAGAAGATTATGGAGAACGCTGCGGTGAATATTACAACCGCACCACGGAGCATTTGATAGACTGACGCTGAAGTGTAAATCAATCCAACGTTCATCAACTGTTAAGAATAAACAAATTAAGATTAAAATAGAGAAAAATTGAAATTGGAGACGTAAAACAAAAAATAAATACTGTGGTTCCCAAGATGTCAGTCATTGCCGGAAGCCAAAACAACAAAACTTTCCATCCAGTTAATTTTTCGCTCGGTACAGAAACTTCATCATCGATCCCTATTATGGGCGGCGGTGATGACGAATCTTCTCCCTCACGAACAATCGCATCCACAGGATCATAAAGTTTAGGTTTATTACGCCGTTCCCAAAATAGTAGAACATACACCGCGACAAAACAAAGAGTCTCCCCGAAGAACATGATTAGCGTTTGCCAAACTGGTTGTTCAAAATATTCTCGTTTGTCTGGGTCTGGATTGTCGCAATTCTTCACACATTGCATATCTTGGAGTTTGTTTAATATCGTATTACAAACTCCACTTGTGAGCATACCAGCCACAAGGAATTTAGTTGCCATTTTATTCTTTCCGCTAGATAAAAAATAAACGTATACAGCCAAACCCTGTTATAGTGATAGTTCACTATAACGGTTTTCAAAAATCCATCAATCACATGATACTGAACGCCAGATATCCATTTATTATAAAGTTCCCATCGAAATGAAGTAATTTCAATATCGATATATCGCTATGGGAGAAGATATATATATAGAACAGGTTTGAAAATGAACATGCTTAGGATGCTAGCACTAGATTCCATTGTAGAGCCGGGAAGTATCATGTGATTTTGGATTCGATCCGGATCCAGATCATGTGAAAAACTTCACGTGCTAAGTGATGATTGGTTGAATAATTTTGATCAACAAAGCAAGATAGTTTCATGTGATAATAACCACTAAAAGCAGTGTTGTCATGCGGACCGGACCGGACATGGACCGGACCGGACCGTCCGTGTCCAGGTCCGGAGAATTGGGCGGACGCGGACATAAATATGATTATTTGTTCATTCATAAAATTAGTACTTTTATATCCCAAGTGTGGCCACTAGAAAAAGGTATGTTTGCCTTTACATTTATTATTCGTTTCAAACACTAAACCAAGCCGTTTAGGTACTACGATTTTACTTTGCGCGGCAGGTGGAAAAGGGGGTAAGTATGATTCTTTGCTTATATTATCCGAAGCCTTTACATTTATTATTCGTTTCAAACACTAAACCAAGCCGTTTAGGTATGTGCCGCTACGATTTTACTTTGCGCGGCAGGTGGAAAAGGGGGTAAGTATGATTCTTTGCTTATATTATCCGAACGCTAAACCAAACCATTTAGGTTTTACTTTACGCGTCGGGATGCTATCATTTTTCGTTTTTAAATTATCCACATTAACCCAATTTTTATTTATTAAAAATGAAAAAGCTCAAGGTAATTGTAATTCATTGAAAAGCGTATTTAAATCCCACTTAGCATTAGGATCTACCGCCAGATGAGTAATATTCCCAATTTCCGAAGAAAGCATTTCACCATTCTCTTCTTCCTCTATACCCGTAAATTCCTCAGTCTCCTCCACCAATATCTCGACCCACACATCCAAAAATTGGCCAAAATCTGCTTCCAAAGCACTCGAATCCGGTGATTCATCATCACCAGAGTCTTGGTTCAAGGTAAGATCTACAAATTCTTCAGGCTCTTGTTCAATTTCACCCGATTCTTCGGTTTCTTGGATTTCTTGGAGGTCTGGATTTTCTTCGGATTCTTGGTTTTCTTCATTATTAATATTCGTTTGATCTTCGGCATTTTCTAGAAAACCTGGTGGCGATAATTCAACAGAATTTGATTTTTGCCAATGATCCCATGTAATGGTGGCCCTTAATTTGCTCATATCGAGGGCTTTTGATGACTAAAAAAATAAAATTAATGTTTAAATAGAAAAATTTATACAA